CMCAACCGAAAACAGGTTTGCAACTGAACTTTCCTCTCTCTCTCTCTCTCTCTCTCCCCTTTTACAAACCCAATAATTCACACAAACCAATTTTCATGTGTTGTTTCACATTGTTTATATGTGAAACTTTCATGACTGTGTGTTTTCACAGTCCTAAATGTTTCACATATGAAACAACATTGTATAAACATTGCATTTTCACATGAAACTCGTTTGTGAGTTTGTACGATTTATTGCGTTTGTAAATGCTTATGCGAGAGAGAGGTTCAAGAGAGACCCAAATAAAACAAGGAACCCCTATCAACCATTGGATGAAGGATTATGTGAGAATAGAAGAAGCTGAGAAATGTAAGAAGGGATTTGGACCCTTGATCACTTTCAATCCCAAAACAACCCAAGAATTGCGTTTTAGAAGGGAATTGATCTAGTATATCTCATTATTGTTGATCTAGTGGTTCTCTCCAATAGGATTGATCAAGGGTGGAGATTTCTTTTTTACCCTTCTCACCATCACTTTCATTCTCATTGGAACCCAACCCTTAACTTTCATTCTCATTGGAACCCAACCCTCAGACTATTGTGTCTAATAAATAGATGGCCTATAGTCATGGATTTAGTTTTGGGAAAAAGTTAACATTATTCACAATCATTGGGTTAAAATAGAGGATAGTTTGGAGGGGTTCCCAGCCTCTTTTCTTATAAAACGGTTGTTAACAAGTACATAGGTAAATTTGGACGAGAACTTAAAAAAAATGTCGCATTTGCATTGGGATGTACGGATCATATCTAACATGGACATGTCTATGTTTTCTATTGACAACATTTTGATTCTATGAATGACAGCCTTCAACAATTAAGATTAATCAAGCAGACAGCAGTGGTGCAAACGGTCAAGCTGCACAGAAATCAGCTTGCTGCGGTTAATAGAAAGCCACGGAATGGGTGCATGCGATACTCAGCCGGGGCGTAGAAAACCAATTGCAACAACCGATGTGATGATGACGACGACGACGATGATGATGATGGGGTTGGTTGTCCATTCTTTTCAAACTTTGTTTGTGTTATGTGAAACATAGGTTTTCATTCTTCTGTTTTTCTATCTTTTGTTTCACATGTTGTTGGGATAAGGAAAAAAAAAAGAGGACAATACTTTTGATTTGGCAGTTTGTATTTCTTTTGATTTTGATTCTATATCTATACTTGTTAGAAGTAAGTAGTAAAGATGTAAGAAATTTTTAAGATGGTAACTTGTTCAATAATCAAATCATGGACTAATGTTGTTAAATCTTGGAAAATTAGACCATTTCCTTGGTTTCAAGCTACTCCTTTGTTCTCATTGCATAAAACATCTATACTATATTATAGAGCATTTGATAAAAACTTTTAAGAATAATGTTTTATACATAAAGTACTGTTTATTGATGCATATTACTTAAAATTCAAGATCATAAGTAAATTCAGCGTAAGTACAACTTATTAAAGCTTTATTTTTGAATTTGTATAACTAACTATAAATAAACATAATCAAATACGGGATAGACATCTCATGTTGAATATAAAAAATCTAAAATATAATTAGGATAATTATTAGTTATAACAAAATACTTAATTATTATCTTTATAAAAATTATATTATCTTCGTTATTAAATATAAATCAAATTATAAATAAAATGTTGAATTAAAGAAATTACACAACAAACCAGGATTTTAAATAGTAAATTTGATACTAATATCGATATTTTTTTTCCAAAATTTTGTGATACATTTAAGTTTAGATTTTATTCAAAAATAAAACATTATCACTTTCTCAAAACCACTAAAAACGTATTATATCAACATAGATTAATAATAAAACTAAACATTAAAATTAAGATATATATCGTTATATTATGCGAGCATCTTTCTAGTTATTTTTAAAAAGATGAATTGTATAAAATCGTTTTTGAGTTTTTTTATACGAGTTGAGACAAGTGACTAACATTCTGACTTATTGAGTAAGCATAGATGGCTTAATGAGAGCCATAGGCCCGCAAACATACATGCCCTTATTTATATGATCTTTTATTGATAGATTGTGATGATATACATATCTTTGTACTTTTTATAGTTGTTCCCAATGCCTAATACCATCGGATGCCCCCCCACTCACAATCATCATCTTCTGCTTACAACCCATGAGTTACATACCCGATTACCTTAAGTTTATAAATGACGTGAGTGGTGGCGTGGTGGTGAGATCGAGCCTCAAAACTTACGAGTTATGGCGTGACCATGACGTTTTTCAAGACGTACCTAAAGCGGCATGTAACACACATCCACATTTGTGTGTGTGATGTTTTGAAGAATAACGTAAAACAAATTAAATTCATGTAAAGTAAAAAAGCTAAAAAATGAATCATAAATAAAAAATGAAATCTAGATTAAAAAAAACTCCGAATCTCTACTCATTGTTTTCTTCAATTTTCAAAGAATTGGGGTCCGACTCTTTGTGTATAGGATTGTGAGTAAGTATTCATCTATTTAAGCTTTTAGTTTTTGAGTTTACGTTTTATGTTTATTTAAGTATATGGTCACGTGTATAATTATCATTTATCCCTCAAGTTATTTATTAAGAATAACATCATAGCTTACAAAATAACACGTCGTAATGCACAAAAACGCATTGTAACACGGTACAATGCAAGTCAAGTCTTACGCACGAGAACTCGTAACACGTTACAATGCAAGTCAAACCTTAAAGTGGAACCATAGGTATTAACGTGGCAACGAACCCATACCTTGACGCTATAATGTGCTATAACGAGTTATTTAGAACCATACTCGATACCACAATCATCATTGTCTAATTACACCTCACGAGGTCGAGTTGCATACCTCTCATGAGTTTAGTCGTTTAGTGTGAGAAAGTAATTTAAAAGCCCCATTTTTAAGAAACAAAGAACAAAAAATAAACATCGTTTGGCTTATGTTTATATTTTCTTGGTGAGTGGATAATATCGTAAGAAATATGTAATAAATATTTTATATGTTTATATTTAATTGTATGTGAAAGTCTTATATCTTATTAACGTTTGACGTGTGCATGCCAATTTATTTATCAATGAATATGGTATTGAAAAATAGACATGGTATTTGATTCATTTAAATGGGTAAATGTACAAATCACTTTACTTGTATAAATCATACAAACCTCATTCAATCAATCATAATTTTTCATTTTGTTCATTTTTTTATAATTATAATTGATTGATTAATCATTTTTTATTATGAAAGATGTTAACCATAGATATTATCATCTTTATTATTTTAATTTTAGAAAAATACATAAAACCGTTTCATTAAGTATTATATGAAACAATAAATCACAACTCCTCGTATAAGTTTGAATTTTTTTTTGCAACTATAAATTCATAAAAATCAAAAACTGGATTTCCTCAATTGATTATAGCATCACAACTAACAATCCCCTTTGCATGTATTGTCTTTCCAGATATCGAATAACTTTGATATCAAATCCCATAACTTTTTAAAGAATCTACACATAATTCATGTACATATGCTGCTTATCAAACTTCACTTAACATATATACATCTCCATGATATATAATATTGATCCGAAACCTATATATTCAGTTCATCCTTCCCATAAATACGTTGAAGTTCACGAGTCGCTGCTTGGAAAGATTCTGAACAATGAAAAACGAACATGAGCAACAGCAATCCTCCACGAAGGGTGCGTTTGATAAGAAGGACAAGACAGAACAGAACAAAAACTTGTTGTCTCACATTTGGTGCGACAATAGACCAAGGCACGGCAGAGACTGAGTGCACTTTTTTGTCCCACCAAAATACGTGGAACAAAAATCAAAGATTGGTAAAATTACTAAACTAAGCATGTCAAATCGAAAACCTAAAACCTTCCACAGTTATTTACCAACCTATCTCTCTTGCCTGTCTGGTCCTGTTTGCATACCAAACAAACTCTAAAGAGACGAACATAATGGTCATCTACATAATTCAAACACGAAGTTACCTTTCCAGCTACGAAATGCTTTCTGATTGATGGGGGAACCAGTCACAGTCTGAATTGCATCAAACAATAAACTCTCGGGTGTGTTTCTTAACTCTTGAACTATCTGATATATTGTCTTCCCGCTCTCAAAGTATATGTGATTATTTGGGTGCTTTGTTTTGCAACCAGCATGACGTTCAAACTCATAAGCATTCAGTGCCTAAGTGAAAAATCAGCTTAGTTAATGAAACTACTTTTGATAATCAGTGTAACCAAACAATTTTACAAAAGCACCAGCAGCTCACAAGCATCCAATAATCCCAACAATTAAGGTATTCTTTTTGGATATGCAACATCAGATGGTAAATAATGAGACAATTCTCACGATATGAAAACTATAACCAAACCAAACAAAACAAATATTGTAAACCCTACGCAGGTAAGGTCTGGGGGTAGTTAGCACACAGACCTTTCCTTTGCCCCAAGGGGTAGAGAGTTTGTTTCTGTGAAGAAATACTATACATGCAAACAAGAAATAATCAAACAATGAATTGAAACAGATAGAAAAAAAAAAAAAAAACTTACCTTAGAGATATTACATGATTGGCAGCCACACAAGTAGCCGGAACCTTTTATAATTCCTGGGAGCTCCTAGTTACATAGAAAAAGTCACGTGAGCCGTGTAATGCAATGAAGACGGATTATAAAGAAGGCCGAGGTGAGTGCTTAACTTTTTAAAACATGATTCTGAGACTTTCAGTTACAAACGAACCATCTTTCATGTGAAAATACAGGAAACAACACTAAACTTGTAAGAACAACCCAATCTTGGACAAATGGGTGATTCTTGCAATGTGTAGTGTGATTAATTGCAACAAACGAACCATCTTTCTTGTGAAAATACAGGAAAAAACACTAAATTGTAGGAACAACCCAACCATGGACAAATAGGTGATTCTTGCAATGCGTAGTGTGATTATTTGCAACAAGAAGTCGAGTAGCCAAAAGGTCAATGGACCAGCGGCACCCAGGTTATCATTAGATCCCACCCTCCTTGGAAGTCAATAGTTCAAACCTCGCCAAAGGTGAGGAGTGAATCCATGGAGTTTTGCCATGCATAAAGATCATATACTTCAAAAAGAAGTCAAGTATGATTGTGTGCAAGTTCAGCGCTCGAAAGACAATGTAAAGATGTTTACCTCTCTTGACAGTGAAACATATTTCACAGGGACCCCATCAAATATACCAGTAGCCATCAAACTTCTAACATTTGAAGGAAAACTATTAGGGGCTTCCTTTTTAGTTGCTTTTGGTTCCGATTTGCTCTTTGATTTGATTCCCTGAGGCATATTTCCAACGGAAATCGTGTTGGATGCATCTAATTCTTTAATCCCAGGAGACTGCAATGTCCCGACTGTAGATCGATCAAATGATAACCCATAGTTGTTCATGGCTTTGACATAATAGCCATTCATTGGCCTGGCCAATGGATCGATCTCAGATTCATCCTGAAAACCTTCAAAAGATATGGTGCTCACTTCTCCTTTATCAAAGGAATGATCAATTGATATGGGATTTTCTTCATCTTTTCTAAGGGTTGGGTCGAATCCACTGTAAGAATGACCCATTAAAGTTACATTTCCATCTTCATTGCCGTAGTTAGGCCGCATTGTTATGAAATTCGTGTCATTCTCCCTGTTATAAACTTGATTCAACAAAATGTCACTATTGTGTTCCTTTGATGCACTCACACTGCTAGCGGTATCCTTAACCTGATTAACTTTAACTTTTCTAATACCTCCATAATTCACACAAATCTCAGGATCCTCAATTGTGTAAGACATAGATAAACCAACTGAGGACTCGTTCCCAAGTTGATGATGGACTATCTTTTTATTCACATGTGCATTATCCATCCCAACAGGAGATCCCAATAAGCGGTCCATAAACTGGTTTGGAGATGACTGGAAAGCAGAGACGTCCCAAGATAGATGAGATGTTGGAATTCCCGATATGGATTTGCTATTTGGAGATTCTATGGCTTGCCTTTTGTGAGGGAATAATTCCGCTTCAGTTGCATCAGTGAACCATTGGTGGGAGCGTTTCGATTCCACACTTGAAGAGTTACCAAATAGGGATTCCCTATTGGTTATATGACCGTTCCCTTTCCCCATCCAAAATCCCTTGTCGTGAAACGACTGGGTCATGAAAATCAAAATAAAACAGCTTATAAGAATTGAACTGACTACAAAGTACGACCATACCAAAGGGTCATTGACCCAGCGGTACTAAGGTTACAAGTAGATCCCAGTGCTCCAGTAGGTCAAGGGTTTAAACCTCACCAAAAGTGAGAAGTGTGTGTGAGTGTTTGACCTATATAAATGTTATATACTTCAAACATATGACCACATTAACAAAAGAACAAGTGTTCTAGAGAAATTTCTTCTTCATTGTACTAAGCATGTAAGTTGTAAACTTCCCATTTGATTTGTGCTAAAATAATTGATCTCTCATCTCCTGCGGACACGGACACTGTCACATCAATAGTGGAATGACATTGAATCTCGCGTCATTGGCAGTGTTCAAAAAAGGCTCGCCACAACAGCCACCGTGGCTCAAAGCTTGTTGACGTCACGTTAAGCCTGTGGCATGCCACGGCCTAATGCACATTCTGTAATGCCATATTTAATTTTTCTTACCTTATTAATGTTTTACTTATTAGCTTTTAATATATAATCTAATTTAAATTGTTGATGTACTTGGTTGCACATTGACGATCATTGTTTTTGTTAGGATTAGTTAAGTACATGCCGATAATTTATCTTGTATTGTTGTTGGATTTGTTACATTCGCCACCCAATTATCCTAACCTGCCTAAGGTCTAGGGTTCAGACCTCACCTTTGATGAGGTGTGTGTGTGTGCGTGTGAGTATTTGGGCGTGTATAAATTTATACTTCAAAATAACATAAATACGAAGCAACAAAAGAATCAGCGAGTAAATTAAACGTAGAAACGCAAGGAAAACATACCATTGTGTGATGAATATTCCTAAAAACACCAGGAACAGACAGAAGATATCTCTGTACTTTCGAAGTTAACCCGATGAACCCAAAATGAACTTCAAAACCGAGAAATAAGCAGTCAAATATCAAACCCTAGCTCGGAACCAGATACATGTAATGGAAGAGAAGTTTTAGGGTTTATTTTTACCTTCGAATAAACAACAGTTATCTATGTGATCAACTGAAGGTCTCGAGGAGATCCATTGCCGGCGGCGAACGGTCTAACTGAAGGTCCAGATGAGATCCATTGCCGGCGGCGAACGGCCGGCGATTAAGAAGTTGAAAAAAGTTGGGTTTTGGAGGCGTATACTTACGGTGGACGAGGAGCACAGGATTGTTCCTCTTCAGAAGTTAAAATAAAATGTGAGCGAGCGTACGCAATCGCGTGGAACCCTAACAAGTGCTACTAAGTGATTTCTATCAAGTTCTGCCGTTGGATTGGGGGTCTTATAAATCAGTCAATGCGTCTATGGAGAAATGAACACTTTAGTCCTCTAAGTTTGAGTTATTGTCTTTTTAAACCCTTGAAGTTGATTTTTCATTTCCAAATGGTCATTGTCCAATGGTGCGTTTGGTATGCAGACTATATTGGACAGGATGGGACAAAAAAAATAATCTCATATTTAGTTTGTTATGGACAAAAAGAGCATAGGACGGGATTTTTTGTTCCATCAAAACAGGTGAAACAACATAGGACTGAATTTAAAATTTCAATATTACTCTTGTTATTTCATTTCAATACAAAACCTTATTCATCGCTTCCTTCTTCTTCCACCAACCTCCATTTATGCAGCACAAGAAAAAACCTCCATCCATTGGGATAAACCCTCCATTCATGTACGATTTCTCTTCAATCCTTTCCATTTCTCCATCTCGCTTCTTCTGGAGAATCATTGAAAGCCTAAATTTATACGATTTCTACTCAATCATGTTTCCATTTCTTCCTTCACGAGATTTTGCTTGGGTTAGGGTTTCCTCCTAATCCTAATATATGTGTATATTTAACTTTAGAATCATATTCTATATCTCTATTTATGCGTCTCTGTATTAGTCTGATTTCTGTTTTGATCATGAATGGTTTGACATGATAAGCCAAAAAAATGGTATCTCTATTTATATGTATCTGCCAAAAAAATGACATCTCTGTTCTCCATTTCAACGCTACTTCTCAACACTATAAACTATTTTATAACCGTCCATCCCATTTTTGATAGCATATGCATGAACTTCGAGACTATTTGACAAACTTCCCAAACGGCCAACAGTTAATATCATGCTTATAATCGAATATTGATCAGGTTTTTGACCCACAACCTATGAAATGCCAGCCACAGCTTCATCATAAAGGCCACCATTGCTGATTTAAATCATTGCACTTTGCATACATTCCCATTAATGAATTGCACATAAACATTACAAAGCAAAGCCAATTTAGGGGAATATTTAACTTGAACCCCATCATACTTGCTCTTACATACATGTTTAAAGTTTTACCTTATCAAGTGTAACACCCCAAAATTTCCCCATGTTCCATGTTGCGTACTCGTCAATGTTTACCATCTCGTTTAATGTCGTAGATTTTTTCTTTTCATATTGAAAAATTTAAAACTTTATTTTTATATATTTAAATTTTATTATCATTTGGTCCTTGCTTGAAAGGAGGTCATGATTTGAAAAAGAGGGGGGGGGGGGGGGGGGAACTGTCATCTCACACCCTTACCCTAGTCCTACCCTCTTGTACTTTTAAAGAAAAAAAGAGATAAAAGGAAGAAAACTTGGAAGGTTCCTCCTCCACCTTGAGAAGAGGAGACAATCGCTGAAGAAGCTTGAAGAATCGGAAAAGAAAGAAAGAAGAGAAGAAGGAAGATCGGGGGAAACATCTTCTGGTTGCAGGGAAGTAAGAACCGAAGCAAGGAGCTACTGGTTGGGCTCGAACAGCACACCGCAGCTACTGTTTTGGCCGAAGGATTAGAAGCTGTCCAGCTACTATTGGCGTGCGTATCAGGCAGGATCGAGCAGTTGTCCAAGAGACAGTTTGGCGAGGACCACAGGCTGAAAAAGGAACGCAGTCTAGCTGCTGTTTGCACTCGTAACAGACTGGAACACAGCAGCTGTTTGATCTGTTGTTGGCTTAGGCAGCAGCTAGTTGGAAGAAACAGACAGCAGCAGCCGGGGCTGCCGGTTTTGAGGAGGGAGCAGTCAGCCGAAAGCTGTTGGTTAGGGGAAAGTTTAGAGGCAGTCGTAGCCGCTGTCTGTCGCACACAGCAGGCTGTTGGTTGGCCTGTTGCTCGTTGCCGCTCTCGATCGAAACAAAACAGTCGAAGCTGTCGGTTTGAAGAAGAAACGGAAAAACAGCACAGCTGCTGTTGGAAGAAGCAGAAACAGCAGCGGCAGTTGGAAAGCCGAGGCGGCAACAACAGGTATGCGCGCTGCATGCAGTCGTGCCCGTAACCTGCACCGAGCCAAACAACAGCAGCAGTGGCTGCTGTGTAGTGTCACGCCTTGCGTTGCCGTGTCCATACCCAGCTGTGTTAGACTTTTTCTCCACTTTTCAGCTACCTTCAAGATTTTAGGATTTCTCCTAAATTCTCCTAGGCGAGTTCAAATCAACCCTATATATATATTTATAAACTTATATACTTTTGAAATGAAGTATCTTACCTATCCTATGCCTCAATTTGCTGCACATATTCATTTAAGTGAAATGGTTAGTCTTGGGTCAAAAGGATGCACTTGGTAAATCTAATTATTAAAGAAAAGTCGGGTCAAATGACTTTAAGCAATTAGTAGGATGCTCCTGTCAAAGTATTGTTGGTATTTGGACTTTAAAAGCTCCATGCCCGGAGTTTGGGGTTCTTTAGTTGAAATGTAGAATATTATACTTGAGTTGAGACCCACGTGAAGCGTTATTGTTAAATAAGTACTATTATGTCATGGTACCTGATGTGCTGGAACCGTAAGTGTGCACACAGTGGGCATAAAATCCCCAAAGTGGCGGTGCAAGTGCACGCCGACACTAAGATCGCTTCAAGTAATAAAGTGGTATAGTACCAAAATCGTTTCCACAGGGACCGGACTTACTGAGAATCAGAGACTTTCATGAACTTCTTGAACAATGTTTCGGGTTGAGAAAATAWTTGAGTTTTGATTGGTGCAAAGCGTTAAAATACGAAATAAACCYTTAATATTAAAAGATGGGTATGGGTGTAAGCTTTGCTTAAGAATATTACAGGAACGACTTGGTCAGAAACCCATGGGATCTCTATAAGAACTCCTTTCTCTCGAAAGTGAATTCTTATATACTGTGCCCACAGAGTGCCCACAAAGCGTCCAAATTTATC